CAATTTTTTCTAAATTACCCCTATAGATACTCCCTTACCCATAATCAAGTAGAAGAGGGAGATGGGATATTAAAAAAGATGATTATGGTGTTTTAGGGAAAATGTATTATTTTTTCTTATAATTAACTAACTTACCTAACTTTTTTAATCTAATCAAATTAGATAAATAAGTCTTATATTAAAGACCGGAGGGAGGAGTATTATGATAGCTAAGGGATGATATTATACACAACAAAGTATCTAGAATTTGTTTTTTCTTCATTTCCTTCCATTGGGAACTATGAACATCACAAAATTGTCATCATAGGTTGGATGCATCTAATTTACCCTCAAGCGAATAAGAATTGCATACACCCATTTCTTTCTCTCAGAGTCAAAAGCTATTTTGAAATCACTTGTTTATGTCTTTCTTAAATTACTCGGTACACTAGCTTGGCACCACGGGAGGGTTTACTTTTATGATTGCTCGGGAGGAGTTTTGTTTTGGTCAAAGCGGCTGGCCTGAAAAAATTAGAAAGTAGCCTCCTGCCAATGGTTCAAATTATGTCAGTGGTACTTACTCTAACTTGTAGATAAATAGGCTAAGCAAGAAAGCAAGACACTGTTCATCAGCTTGCTCTATTGAACTACATTTGGTACGTATTCTTCACATCATCATCCGGGTTTTCATCTCGTGTTTTTAATTCTTGACCATTGTTCTCTTACCATTCTTCTCTCTGAAAGCAGCCGCAATTACGTAGAAATTGGTGGGGTTGATAAGGCCACCGCGCAGGTACTTCCTCCTAACAAATCCGAGACAGCCAGGGGGAAAAGGCAGGAGGGGAAAAAGGAACAACACACGAGATTGATATGATCTTGGCTCGAATTTTTAGGTTGTCGACTTTCTAAGCTTTTGCAATACTTGAGACGCCCAGGTTAGCTGTCAATGAATAAAATGAAATGATGATACAATAGTTGATTTCCAAATTAGTAGTATCTTATCTCGGTTCAGTACATTTTGATTCTTACTATGCGACTTCGTTAATATCTTAGCTTCAATTCTCAGACTCGTATAAGATCTCCAATTTTCCTACGTCTTCCAATGCTGCCGGCCGCCAGCATCAGTATCTCCGACCAATAGTATCTCAATTCAAGATTTCTGTCTGGTTTCATTTAACACGAGGATTGTTGATTCTTCGAAATTAAAACCAAAAAGAAAAAAGAAAATTTACATCAGGGGAAAGAACTCTGCCTTGCTCTGGGTTTCTTCTCCAAGACTGAGACTAAACTCAGCACAACCATAACCAAGAACCTAGAAACAAAACCTCAGGAAAATGAACAGAGAAAACTGGTAAAAATGAGCCATTTTGTGGAGAGCATCTCTCAGGAACAACACACCACACTTCTCAACCTGTGCACATAGACAGTTACATTCACAAAACTTTTCCATAATCTAAATGGACAATCTCTCCTCTCCATCAATATGACCCTTCTTCATCGAAAGTTAAGTTGTTGAAAACTTTCATGTCTTTCTTTTCTTCCTTATGTATCTTTTTCTTTCTTTTTCTTCATCCTGTTTTCTGTCTTTATTTTTCCCTTTTACACTCGGACCTTTTTTCCCTTTCAGGGAAATATTGCAGCAGTGTGCCAGTTCTGCACTCTTAGCATGTTTCTGTTCAACTAAGAAGCAGCAGCAATAGTTCCTCTTACGCAAGAGTAATCCTGACTCTTATTGGGTGAGGTAGATTCTCTCTGCTGTTTCTTTCTCATAGCCTTCATTGAAGAAGACAGGTTCCTATCCTTCTCAATAGCTTCATCCATGTCTATTTGCTCTTGCCTGCACTCTTCGCTACAAAAAGGAGTGTCCCCTCTGCAATAACAATAGAAACTACCATCAAAATCGGCTTCAAACATATTCAAAATCTCATCGAAATGAGTTTTCAATGTCAAAAAAAAAAATCCAGATGGTCATGACACAGAAAAGAAGAGAACAGATCCATTTTCTAACCTGTACATGAAGATGTCCCTGTTCTGAAGCGGTTTTTTGCAGAGATGACAGGCTTCAAGAAAGTAGGGTTGGTGATCCTCATATCTAGCATCATAAAATCTCCCAGATCTCGGCGATGAACCAGGAAGGCTTCTGAAACTAGACCTATTAATTATAGCATAACCCATAGACTTCGACACAAAACCCTGTTGATAATGATGGTGATTCTGCCCAGAATAGCCCGCTTCCATGTCTGCTAAGAAAGCCAAACCGCAGTTTTCTTCCAAGAAACAAGGTCTTTTAATGGAAGCACTGGATGAGTCCATTAATGGATCTGCCAGTTGTGGAGACCGAAGTGATGATATTTGGCGAAGAAAAACGTAAAAAGGCGGAGTGATGATGGGAGAGGAAGAAGAAGAGAAGGCTTGTATATAAAGGGGATGTGGTTGATGGGTGTGGTGATTGGGGGAAAGCGAAGGCGGAGGCTTTTCGTTTGTTGAATGCGTAACTGAGATTATAAACAGCGGCAGGCTGTGTGAATCCGTGCTGCGAAATCCATTGGCTCCAAATACCTGCATCTTCCAGTTTTCAATTATTTAATTCCTTTATTAATCATTAATTTAATGTCCTGCCTTGATATTTTCATTTTCTAGAAATTGGATCGTGGGGGGGACCAAGTTACCATGGGATAGGCACAAAATTGCATTTGTGCCACTGTTCTGGGTGGGGTTTTTTGGTTTGGGGGGGGGGGGGGGGGAAGGTCTTGTCCTGTGAGACTCAAAAAGCGAATTTTCGACCATCAGAAGGGAAGAGGCTAACCCTCTTAATGTTTACTCTTCTAGTTTTATTTATAAGATAAAAAATATTTTTTGATTTTATTTATAAGGTATTTTGAAAAATCTTTTATATAGATATATATTTTTACCTGCTATTTATTATTATATTGATTTTATTTATATGAGATATAATATATATTAAATAAAGTTAGAGTTAAAAAGTTCTTAAATTTTAAATAAGAGTTAATAAAATTTAAAATTCTTCTAGGTACATATGAAACATGTTAAAAGGAATTTATAAATAGGACTAGAAGAGTAAATATTTGTACTTAATATCTAACAGTATTTTAAATATGACTATTTTCAATAAAAGAATGCATATGTCCAATAAGAAGAGGAAACTGAGAAAATAAGAATAGATTATCTTATTTGAATATTTTTCAATATAATTACTCTCTTTGATTCACAATATAAGTCATTTTTAGAAAAATAATTTGGTTCAAAAGATAAATTATTTGAAGAGTAATTAATATTAGTTATCAACTTTATCCCTAAGTTCAATGCTTAAATATAATTCTTTGAATTTTTTTCTCTTCTTCACCCTATCATCTAACGAGTTAACTATATTTTTTTGGTCTTAATTAATTAGTTAAAGCTATTTACATTGTGAATCCGAAAAAGTAGATAGGACCGGAGGAGTAATTGAAACGAAAGGAACGAGGATGAGCGGAAGCATTTGGATGCATTGGTCGGATTTTCCTCTCAAAAGAAATTGTGCGTGATTGAATCAAAAATTTATATTTTACCAACAAATTAATATTTCCATACAGCCCTTAAAATCTTATTTTATGTAAATTTATTTTGTCCAACGTTATTGAGTGTAAATTTATTTTTATATCTATGCATTTTGTATTGAAAAAGCAGAGAAAATTAAATTGTATGCAAAATGTATATTTTATTTTATTATTTACTATTTTTAATATGCATACATCTTAGGAAACATGACAAATAAAGACCTCCAATGTGTAAAATTATGATTTGGAAATCTTAATTTGAAAAATAACAAATAAAGATCCGGTAATATATTACAAATGTGAAATCTTGATAAAATATCTGAAATGCCTCTCAATCAAGTTGTGATGTGGTTTACTGAAATTGTTATTCATTAAAATGAATTTGTTATTTTCTATAATCAACTTATCATTTGATTAACGGATATTTTAGATATTTCATCAAAATTTCATATTTATAATATAAAACCGGATCTTTATTTATTATTTTTCTTAAGTCTGACATCTTATGAAAATTTAAAAACCTCGAGAGTGGGGGGTTGGACTGAGGGAGTGAGTGGCAACTTGGTAATTAGAGGAAAGCATGAAGGGTTTTTGAGTGAGGGAGAAACACAGTGAAGGGATCAGTCCAGTTCTCCCAACCAAACCGCCCATGTGCTTTCCCTTCTTTTTGTTCCACGTCAATATTTTGTGCAGGCCTGCGTCCACGCTCTTCAACACGCGCGTGAAATTGATAGGCCCACCCACCCCGTGAGTTCATCTTCGCTTTGCTTGTCACGGAGGAACTTGGAGCGGTGGCGGTGGGTATTTGGGTGGTTTCAAATTTTGAACCACCACGTAACTGTCGCCTTAAACCAACCCCATTCCTTGGGGTAAGCAAGCATCTTGCTTCTGTCTTCAATCTAATTTCCTACCAAACAAAAATATATATATTCATTTTGTTTGCACAATTATACATATTCTTCTGCTGCTATTAATAGGATAGAAAGAAAATTTTTTATTCTGTTTATAGTTACATCTTTTAACATAAATGTACCACTTTTTATCATTTATTATATTATACATTGTTTTTTAAAATTTATATATTAAGTAAATATAAAATTAAAAAGTTGTTATATTTTAATAAAAAATTAATGTAATTTAATATTTTTCTTAATTTATGTAAAACATATTAAAAATAAAATTTAATAATAGGACTAAAATATTACTTGACACATTTATCAATCCACAAATATATGCATATACTTTGTTCTATCTAATCTTTATATGTGTGTGCAGTTAATTAAAGAGCTTATTTTGATTTTAAGTGTAAAACTTTAATTTCATTGGTCTTTCATTTTTATTATTCTTCTTTTAAATTACTCTTATTTATTACACACCTTTTTCTTCTGAGTAAATATTACATACCTAAATATATATAATTAACATTATGTAGTTCTAAATGTAAATTACTAAAAAAAAGTGTCACATTTAAAGAAAATCAACACACATTTTTACATATAATATATTTAATTAATTTTTAATTTGTTAGATTAGTTATTCAATTCTTATGTTTTCTTTTTGATATAACTCATAGAATTTTCATAGTACTTTGAGATTAGGACTAATCTCTATTGGACTAGAAGCGTTACGGTTAAAATCCTCCTAACAAATATATTTTTCGAGATTCAAATTTGTATTTTTCTTCTTATAGGGTGAAACTGCTTACCATCTCAACCAGTTGTTTGTTAATATTCAATTCTTCTGTTTAATACAAAATAAATACCATAAAAATTCTAATGAGTTACATTATTTGAGTGATGCACGATACATTGATTTATTAGATTTTGTGTGACATATGAGATACACAAAAGTTGATAAATGAATTAGACTAATTATGAATAATGCAAATAAATTACATGATTTTTTTACATTTATTTTTTATACAATAAAGTTTAAGTGAAATAAGTCACAGGAGCGTATTAGGATCAGGGCATACTTTCAAATTCAGAGCAGCACTTATAGAATTATATATAGATCATTCACAATAAGATCTTAATATTAATAGTATGATTTAAATTCACAAATTTATAAGTTATAAGCTATTCGATTAAAACCAATTCTTGTTTGAATAGTTTTATAGTTAATTATTTTTTTAAGTTAGGCATAAGAGCAATAAAAAGATTTCTTTTTTATCCCAAATATAATACATCAATCTAATGCAAAATTTAAAAGCGATATTTTTGGAAAATCTCTAGCCTTTTGATCATGTAGGGTTGGGGGACTTGAAATTCATGCAACATGTCTGGGGGTGTGTACACGCGCATAGAGTGCAGATTGGGGTCTCCGGGGACGCCTTATTATTCTGGCGGAAAAGCCAAAGGGCGAAAAGAAAAAAATTAAAAGAAATAAAGAGAGGTTACGTAATAAAAGTTTCCCGCCCTAAACCCACGGTTTCGCCATTTCCCAGAAAAATCGGCCCTTCCGAACATTAAAGCGCTGACGTCATCACTGCCCCTCACACAAAACCCCAAGATTCTTTTCGTCGTTTTCTTCCATGACGTGGGCCCCACCCCCGCCTGTACATCGATGCATTGGGCCCCACACCGGCCCCATTGCCCTACGCCCCCTCTCACTAGCCTATCATGATGACGTTCGCTCCCCTTTCGCCGGTCTTTTCTTTCCCCTCTCTGATCATAAATTGAAGTTATTTGTCGTGTATTTAATATTTATTTTTTAATTTTACTAAAAAAAATGATAAGATATAATAATAATTTGTAAATATAAATATAAATTTTAATAAGAATAAAATTAAAAAATTTTGTCCAGTTTATATTAAGCTTCAGAGTAGTAGAGTGTATTAAAAATTACATGCATTCCTAATTTTTTATTAAAATGATCATTATTATTAAAGATCATTTTAAATTTTAAATTATGATAAATAAAAATATTTCAAATAGAGAGCAAGAAAGATAGAGAATTTATAATATTTTATAATTTTTTTAGTTTTATCTTTATTTAAATTTTATTAGAAAGAGAGCAAGTAAAAAGAAAAAGAATTGAGAATGATTTGTTTTTTTAATCAGTATCAGAACGATTTGTATGTGCACTGAGAGAAAAAATTTTAATAAAAATGAATTTAAAATTTTTTATCAATATAATATACTCCCTCCGTTCCTTATTATAAGAGACATTTGATACTTATGATATGTTTCTAAATATAAGAGACACTTAAAAGTTGTTTACTTTTTTGTATTGATTTCCTATTTTACCCATATTTATTGTCTCCAACTCACACTTTCTCTCCTCCCACTTCTCTTTCTTTCAATAATTTAATTGTTCTCTCTCATGCTCTCTTTCCTTATTAATGAGGGCATTTTTAGAAAAAAGATAATATTTTTTACACATTGATTGTTCTTAACTAATTTTAACTACTTTTTTTATCAACGTAATTCGGTTATTCGTCTCTTATAATAAGGAACGGAGGGAGTATTTGTTAGCATATTTAATATAAATGTATTTTAATCAAACACTCAATTATATGTAGAGATTATTTGAATCAGCTTATAAATAATTCATATTAATCAGCACTTATTAACCGTAATAATTAGAGGGAGTAACTAAGAAGGTGGCTCTTTTTCGACGAAGTGATGTTCCCCCAATGCTCGGCCTAGTCTGAGCTGCCCGTGGTTCCGGGGCAGCTGCCCAGCCCACTGCCGGCGGTTACCAAGATGTACACGTGTGGTCGTACGTGTCAGCAGCTAACACGATCCATTACATATTAACCGCCACGTCTCCCATTAGTACTGACTAGTGCGGCTTACTATTTTAAATCTAAATATAGAATTCTCGTGCTGACTCATTTCAGTTTCACTACTTTTGAGTTCTGACACAATCACCCGCACACCCAGATTCGGCAATTTTATTTACACTCTCCCGTTCTTTATTTATGAAAGGTCTAATTTTTTGAATTAATTTATATTTTACTATAATATTTTTTTGAATTTATTTAGATAATAAATATATTTTTATTCATTTATATACTCTAACTGAT